AAATATATACTATAACGTCACTCAATGAAATAGTGCCACTAGTAACTGATGTTATTAGAAATGGTGCAATATCTAGTTCAGCATTGGCTAGTCAAACTCCTGAACGTCCACCACTAGTCAACTATTTACACTACAATCGAGTGTTTTTTCCTAGAAGGCTAGTTACTTACTCTAATATCCATTAACTACAGGCCCAGCTACTATAGCTTGAACCTTACTAGACAGGAGTGGAGGACTTTCACGCTGTCAATTCAATAAATAGAGTCTAGTTGTCTGCTTATGCTCCATTCTATTTGAATGTTCTCATATCCCCGTCGTTGAAGGAATTAACGAGAAAAGGAAAAGAAGGCCGGAACATTGTCATATCTATAGCCGAGAAGAGAAGAATGATAGGAATTAGTGAAACCAGACGTGGCATCTTCTTTAATAAAAGGATGAGGATACTCAGGAGAGGATTACGATCCATACAGCGCCGATTAGACATACATATATGATAGATTTAGACAAGTTGAAAAGAAAAGCATTTAGATGTTCCAGGAAAAGATAGGATAAATGAAAACCCTTAACGACACATTTGTCCTGAATCCAATCCAACGTAACGTTGAAATCGGAATTCCTATCTCATCGTTTTGTTTCGTTTTCTTCTTCTCAAAAGCGCCTGATTTACGCCGCTGCCTTTACCCACATTGACCATTTTGGGGACGGTTACTAAACCACTTCAGAATCTTCATCATCACCGACTGGCAACGATTTGACCACAAGCAGCTTAGACATACCTTACTGCTCGAGGCAGGCTGCCCCTTTTTTGGCTTCTTCTTACTTTGCTCCTTCCTCCAGACTTTCTTTATTGAGACAAGTTGGATTTCTTGATAGATACATTTGGCCAATTCGGTTTACTCGACAGCCTGGATTTACATTTATTTACTACTCCTTGGGAGCAGACTGACGGACAATCTTCATATATCGATGCCACGGACACAGCTTCAGCGAAAGAGAACCACTCACCGCCCTTGTGACTGAACTAGATTGATATTTTGGAAATGTCTATGCCATACTTATTCTTCTACCCTTCGTGAACCGATGATCTTATGTTAATTTCAGTTTGGAGAAATATCATCTTTCCTGCTTACGAGCAAGGAGGATATATTCAGAACGTAAGCTCCATTGGGGCATTTTATCCCAGTGGTTATTCGTTCTTCCAAAGAGTTCCTACGATTTATACCGGCTCCTCATTCACTCGCCTATCAGCAGATGTGTCAATTTGCTATTGTCAGCAAAGTTCAAGACTCATCTAGAGGAGGTAAATCAATGGATACGGGTACGCCTGGTTGAAGCAGCCCCTACACTTCTATGGGTTGTTCCAGCCTCTGCTCAGTATTCCGCAATACTATCGCACAATCCTCTAGAATAGTCAGGCCATACTCTTCTAGATTGAACTTGGCCTCGCTCAAGCAATCCATGCTATGCATCACTACAGTTTGCTTCTCCATGCTGGCTTCCACCACAATGCCAAACTGCTCCCTCTGAAAAACCAAGCCCTTCTAAGCGGACAATGTATTATTTGAACTGTAAAAACCTATTCTTGCGGCACCTTCTACTTTTGGAAATGGGCAATCAGTCCTAGATTCAATAGCAGGGGGCAGCGGATGAAGTCTCTTTGCGGGCCCAGAGGGAGCAGCTAAAGCAACTGACATCGGTTAATCAATAGTAGTGATACCCACATCCCTGCCCCTATGCTTTATGCCAAGGAAGTGAGAGCACCTGGTTTGAATATGTAGGTTCGATAGGACCTGGAAGAGCAGATAGGTTTTAGTGAAAGATGGGCTTGTTTTCCAATAAGTTCTATTGCTTTGACACATTTAGTATATAACTGAATAGAAAACGGAATAAAAGCGGATAAGATAGCGTATTAGGCCGACAAGTAGGAAGCATAGCAAGTAGCAATATACAAGAAATAGGGAATGAGGGGGCGTGGAAGTCTTTAATATTGCGGTCTCTATCGTCACCTTGACGGCTGTTTGCGCCTTTCTGACCGAAATGGAAGAGCAGGTCTCATGCCTGGGAGATTTGTCCAATAGGGACATAACTAGTTGCGACAACAAGCAGCAAAACAAAGACCTTCCTCTCAGGGCTTTGTAGGAGGTATCTTCATTATCAATACTTCTCGACATCTCAGGGTAACCTGAAAATAGACATCCCTGTAGGAAGAGAACATCAAACTGATTGAATGAAAGAACCCCCACAAGTGAATCTTGATTCTTGAATTAGAAGATCAGCTAAGCCTTATTTGGTCACTTCAGGTACAAGCATTCATAGTCATTATGGGAAATTCTTTTCTAAAGGAGATGTGTATTAGTTCCTTTTCTATATGGAAAATGGAGGTCTAGCCACAAAAGGTCTTCCTCACTCAAGTAGAATTAGAGAAGTGCCTTCGATTGATTTAATATGATGGGTTGAAGGTTGGAACGAATGTATACCACTTGGAGTACCCTGGGTTTTCTTTATTGGAGCTGAGCTAACCATAGCCCAAAGTCGTATTTCTTTGGTTAAGAAGAAGATCCTAAAGGTTTCTCGATACCAGGGAGTACAGATCCATAATAGACATATCGAGATTATTGTGCGTCAAGTAACATCAAAAGTGTTGGTTTCAGAAGATGGAATGTATCATGTTTTTGGAACTAGAGAATTCATTGGATTACTACGAGCGGAAGGGGCAGGACGTGCTTATGACGAATCAATATTTTACAGGAATGTGGGACAAGAGCTTCTCTTAATACTCCAACCGAAGCAAGAAGTTTTCATCAAGAAAGGGCTCGAGAAAGCAGCTCTACACGGTCCGTATTGGTTGGTAGGCCTGAAAGAAAACGTTGTTGTATAAAGGATTAGTGGTATCCGATTGAAAAAAGTATGTGCATCCAAACAACTTGAATGGCGAAAACCTATTATAGTGAGAAATAAGATATATTATGTTATACCATAATAAAAGAAATGATTCTGATGTGAGATGAGACAATTTCTGATTCTGATGAAACAACCATCTTTTATGCAATTTCATGATTCTTAACTGAGAGTTCCCGTTCTTCCTTTAACTATCTTTCTTTTTTCACTAAAGGTTATGAATGTTTTAATAGATCGAGTCAGAATAAATCAAATCACTAATTCCAAAAAGTTTTTCAGGTTTGTGTCGTATATCAATTACCGGCAGAAGGTTCTATCGGAACAATTAGTTATTTCAAAGTAACTCGTAGATTTATTTTGGCAATAGGAGAATGAAAAAAAGATCTGGGATTGAAAGAAACAGATGGTTGAAGTCAGAGTTCATTTAGGTTATAGTGAAAAAAGAAGGAATCCTAGAATAACTCCTTACATCTTTACAGCAAAGGGCAAACACAAACGTAAAGGTATAAAGCCATCTCGCCCGCTCGTTATCAGAAGCTTGTGATTTACTTTTTCATGCAGCAAGTCAAGGAAAAAACATCTTAATGATACCTTCCCAGAAAGAGCTGCTCAGTAGCGTTAGCTGCAATAAGGGCTCGGTGTCATTCTTTTAATACAAAAGGGGTGGTATGTTATGGGTGGTCATTAGGCAAACAAAACTTCGTAAGTTAAGGTACTTAAAAGGCTAAGAAAAATAGGGCCAATTCCACTCTTCTCTTCGCAGCTGCAATCTTGAAGAAGAGAAAATTATCTACTTTGCAAACATACCTCGGTGGAATCAAATATATGTGAGGGTTACCTGATATTGTGCTCATCATTGATCAGCAAAAATAATATATAGCTCTTCAAGAATGTCTTATTTTAGCCATTCCAACTATGATACAACAAATGGTGATCCGGATCCCGCAGCTATTCTCATTCCAGCCAATGATAACGATAAAGTTTAAATTCGATGGATGGCATGAAAAGGAAATGGTTTGATTAATTAATAAATGGAACCATAGGCAAGCACCCACTCTACTAGATGCTAAACATTTCATTGCATTTTCTTGAACGAACTTTGAAAAGCCAAATTGTTAGTTCACTAGTATAATTGAAACCACTTGATGATGAACGAGAAGTAGCTCGACCGTAAAGGAAAGGAAAGGAACCCTGGTGAACGGATTGAGCGAGCGCCAGCGGGGAAATCTCAAAGAGATATTTTTTATTTTATATAGTTATTCTCTAATATTTCACCATAGAAAAGTTTCTATTTCACTGCCAATCTGTTGACAAAGCTCAACCAAGTAAAATATTTTTGATCCTGGAAGAAATAGTAGAAATTAGAAGAAAAAACTTGATGCTTGAAAGAACGGACTCATAGGGTCACTAGCCAACTTTCATAAAGAAAAGGCCTCACTGTATGGTTAGTGTTAAAAGCACTATTACACTTTATAATCAAGAAGCAAAGAGAAAATGAAGTATACAAGTTCACCATATCTTTTGATTAAAAGAAACAAGAAGCTCCGGTAGGACCTAGGGAACCTTGAAGTAACCCACTATTTTTTTGTAGTGAATATCGAATTCTAAATTTTTTGGTGTAATCAGGGTAAGCTTATGCCTCATCCTGGTTGGGAAGGTTATAGTAGCTTCAGTCATTGGAATTACTCTATTTCTATATATAGGCCTTATCCTTTTTGTTATTGCGTTATGGTAGAGGGAAAGAGAAAAGAAAGAAGAGAAATTGGGCCATGTTTCCCGAGAGAGACTGCCTTCTCTCAGGCCAGCAGTCTTATACTTATAGTCGACTGCTCTATGACGATCTGACCTCTTTCCTGGGCTCTGCTCGCTCGTCTACGCTCCGACCAATTCAGTCAAAATCGAAAAAACGATGTTTCCTTGAAAAAGTCTAAGAAATAGTAGTAGTAGTCAAAAAGTGCACTTTTCGATTTATAGGGATCCCTATCTTTATCTCTATCCACAGAGATACCTATCTATATAGAGAGAGATTTATCAATAAATTGATCTAGACTATCCTCTATCCGGATAGATATGTCCCTATGAGCGACTAGGCCGATCTTTTTTTATATGTTTTGGCCACGTCCGTTTCCGCTCCGAAGAGGAAGGTTTGGATCTTTCAATCTTATGTCGTGAGGGATGTGACCTATGTTAGGTCCATAAGATACCACAGCTTTTAGTGTTCTATGATTCACCTCCGAATAATGAGTAGGTAGTTCGATCCTTTTGATTCTTATCTTCCTAGTAAACGGGGATCCGGAGCAATAGGTCGAATTTCTATATAAAGAAGACTTGTAAACAAAAGGACTTATTGCTCTTTTTCGGTTTTCCGCTTCCCCTATTGTTCTTATCAATTCCTCTTCCTCCTTCCTTCTTTTCAATAAGAAGAAGTATTTGAAATGAAACAAATTCCTCTTCATTCTGTTGTGCTCAGCGAAGGAACTGCCTAAGCATACTTTTGCGGATCCAAACTTCTTTGTTCTTTCTAAGTCTTCTTCTTGCATATAAGAACGCAACTCTTGCAAAAACCAGGATTTGAGTAGTAAGCGGCATACCCTCTGAGTTGTGAGTAAGCGGAACCATTCTGTTTTTGTTTTTCTCCAGATTCTGACCGGTAGTAATTTGCCTATGATTTTTCCAACTGATATGTCGATATAGAAAGATCTCCTTATTTCTTCACCGCGGGTTCTCGCGTCATTTTCTTGAAAAGATATTAGATCACCGTGGGAAACTTTCAAATGAGTAATGGTTACCAGTCCATTATTCAAACAAACCCTTCGATGACTTATCGGCTGCCTTGCTTGAGGAAGAGTGTCACAAAAATGGAGACGAACCGGAATCACGTCCGATCTTGTTTCTTGATTGAGTAAAAAAGGGATATATGAAGTTCGTTCTCTTCCTCTGTGCATCTCCCTTATGGGTAAATCCCCATAATAAAGGGACAACTTTCGTGTAGTTTGTGATTTGATGTTACTGTTTAGATTTTCTCTCTGAGAAAGATTTCTTTTAATGGATCTCCTCTTGTTCCTCAATCTTCGGAGAATGCGGCGTTGGATTAGAGAAAGTTCTCTGTTCCGAACATTTCCTGGAAGTAGACGACACGTTTTAAATCTTAATGCAGGCATGGCATATTTCGTTGAATCAGTCTTTTTCGCCACATCGCGTATAAAGGGAATCGAACCCAACTCTTCCACTCGCCGCCAATGCGGAAGGATGCCGCCGAAAAGAAAGGAACGCTCGCCAGAATGAAATACTTCAATTAGGATGAGCTACTACATATCGTTCTGAAAGGGGCCTGTGAAACTGAAGCAGTTCCTGCAACCATCAACGAAGTCAAGACATTACCTATAGCAAGAAAGACTACCGATAAAGAAGAGCCGAAGCCCTACCTTGTTCCTGCCATCCCTTTCCATTCCAACTTCATTTTTATCTATCTCACCTTTCATAAGCCCATTCAATGAGTTTTCGGGACATGGGTCAAAGCGATTTGTAGACCAATAGCAAAAGCAGCAACGATTCGATGCTCGAAAGCGGATGGCTTCCTTACGAAAAGAGTAAGAGCGCATTAATGGAAAAAAGAGGAAATCACGATCCCGGTAGAGGGAGGAGTCGGGGGACATTATGTGGAAGTTGGGTCACATCGTGGATGTACATAATAGGAGATTGATCTCTTACTCTTTCACCCCGAAAACCTTCTCCCCAGCTCAAGATCACTTTCTTCTTTTTCTGGAAATAAGTAGATCCTTTCACTTTCATGACAACTGACTTTAAACCCATCTTTCTGGCGGATCGCCCGACATGTTCCGCAGTTGCTTCAGCAGCATATCGAGAAAGACGAGACCGCCCTTTTATTTACCCCAAACAACCTGCGGAGGCCCCAGTCTTTTTATTCCCCCTAGCATCTGTCACGGTCACAAAGGTCTTATTTTTCATCAGTAAGACATGGATAAAATCTCTCTTCTTTTTCCGTTCACATTGTTTATATTCCTCCGAGATGCTCTGTACGAAGTTCTTGAATTTGAAACTGCCTGCACCCGCAAGCCCAGGCCTATCAGTCTCGGCCGTTGTTTTTTCCTGGGGCATCCTATGTGAATAGTGTTGACGAATCAATTGATTTTTGTAGGCATCATCCCTCTTTCCTATGTCCTTCCCCCCTTTACCTTCTCTTTCTATTCTATAAAAAGGCGAACATCTAATCTAGGCCCGGTCGCCTTTCTATGAAGGCGAGCAGCCCAGCCCCCTTGTTGAAATTTTGATATTAAGGAAGCCGTATTTCGCAATAGCAGCTCCGAGAAGCTGGGCTTAGGGTGCGCCTCCTGCGGTCGTTTCAGTGACTCAATTGGCTGGCTTCCCCCAGCTCAGACTGATGCCGCCACCTCTCCCAGGACCGGAATGATTATCCCTGCCCGATGGGTCTACATTCATCCCTGAATGTCGTCGGGTACTCTTCACTTCCCCGCCATTCTTGTAACCGTCACCTGTAATCCGCGCAGGTGTGTCCGCACCCCCTGGAGTGGACGAGAAAGAAAGGATTTTATCCCGCCCCCCTGGTTCCAGACCCAGGAGTTCACTTTCCCGTATGAGCATTCGGTACATATATAAGTCAGTGGAAGAGTCAAAGGGTCACCACTACTGAGGATCCCCCCCTTATCTTAGAAGGGTCGTCTGAGGGTTCGCCGCGGTTCATTGCTGTGCTTACACACTAGGCTACCCTTCCCCGAAAGCTCCGCGGGACCACCTATCACTAGTCTTCGGCCGGAGGGGTTTATTGCACAAAAAGGCCGGGACGCAGGCTCCCGCAGAGGAAAGCCCAACGAATGTCAGATGCAAAGCCCCGCACCTCATTAAGATCATATTGGCATACTCTCCCAAAAAAAAAAGAGCAGACCCCATTGAAGACGGGAGTGAGGTACAACAAGGCCATTTCCGTCCACCTTCTCACGGAGCTGTACGTGGACGTTACCGCTCATACAGCTTCCAGCCAGCAAGCAGTTAGCTTTCCTCTAAAAGTCATGGAAGTGTGGATAAATCGACATCAAACTCTAGTCGACAGAAGGTTTTTTTTGGTCTGCCAAACCAAATTCTTTTCTTATTAAAGCCTTCTCGAAAGAAAAGGCCCCTATGAATACTAGTCCACTTGTAATACGTAATTCTTGGCTTGGGTCCCTACTTCTCAAGAAAAGAAAAGTCAACTATCGCTTTCCCTGCTTTCAGGAACTTCCAACTAGTCACTTCTCGCTTTTGATCTCTTCCGTTTCCCAAGTCCGCTAACCCGCTTTGCTTTCCTGTTTCCTTTTACGAAACCTTCATCACTACTTCTCCTTCACTGAAACATGCTTAAAATGAGTTTAAACTCACGTTTAAACAATCAAATGTACAATCTATCTTCTTATCCCGGCATCTTACTTACTATTTTGAAAACGACTACTCTTTCCTTGCTGGTTCTGAATCACAAGCAAGCCTAATAAGAGTTCTTTCTGCTCCTCTTTCTACTAAAGACTTTGCATTGCTTTGTAGTCAAAAGCCGTACCTATATGCTCCATTTCCCTTTCTTGGGCATAGAGAAAGCAATACATTATATTTTATTTCTTTTCCATACATGACTTTAGCCATTTGGCTTGGTTTTCTGCTTCGTGCTTATGCATTATCATCCTAGAAGATGGTTTGTGCTAGTATTGTGCAAGTGCCTTTCTCTTTTGTAGATGGAGTGGAACTACACAACTCTCCTATATCCTCTTTTCCGCGATCAAGAAGTTGACGGTATGTAGGCTCATCTACCCAATGATTGTTAACCGTCTACTCCAGTAGTTGTTCGGTTCTTAGTCGATAAGTCTGTCTTCTGTCTATTCTTCTTCGAACTTTCTGTCAAATCAAGCAATTCCAATTTAAAATTCCAAATCCCACCCCCAAGCGGCGATGATCCGTACATCGAACGCCTGTTTTGAGAAGAGGGCATTGCTAGGATGGTTTGATCGAGGGTCACGACCTGAACTATCTTTCGTTTTGTTATTCAATAGGCAAGGGAATAAAACTAGAATTGAAATGTCAATAAAATCCCGAAATAAGCATATCATGATCATAGGACGGGAAGGTTATGCATAATATCAAAGTAAAGTCAAAGTTTACCAAGAGGTAAGCCGGAATCCTTTAGGTTCGCTACGATAGTTGTTACTCACTGGGTGGGTCAACTAGTCATGGTATAGTTGTTTACATGGTAGCAGGTTGGTTCGACAGAGCAGAGAAAGAGATTCTGGGTCATCCCCATGAGCTGATACTGCTATTGTTTGGATCGCCTTCAGGGCAGCTAACTAAGGATTATCGGGATGAATTCCATTCCAATTGTGGGTTGAGAAGGATGGCAAGCTGGTTACTCAAATTGGAGATACCCTGCTCTAGGAATGAAAGGGTGAATCACCCCGGAACGAGGTAAAGGGCTAGATTGAGAAAAGTAGTATACTTAGTTAGGGTCGGTTTGAGTAAAATAAGTGAGTGGGACTCGCGAACTGGACAGTAAAGTGACAATAGGGTGGTCACTCGTAATACTATTGTTAGGGAAAGCCTACTAAAGTGGTCAACTAATAAATATTGTCAATAAAGAAAGGACTGGATCAGAGAAGTATGATGTATTCCCCTTCCCTGGGTATCACGAACGGGGCATCACAACCATCATTCGAGGAATATTACCATTCCGATACTGGCATCCGGAGTCCTCCCTACTGATCCTTCGGAGCCGGGGTGCAAAGGAAGCAAGAGCACTGGGAGTACGAATATCCTTAGTCCGAGGAAGGGTGCTATATCGGTGGTGCAGTTCTTACACATCATTATATCCATATTGGAAATCAAATAATCACCTGGCCCACCCCGATTCTCGAGAATAGAAGAGCTGACTTGCATTCGAGGGTAGTGTTAAGCAACTTCCGGATATGATCGATAGGTTTCACCGTCAAGCAAAGCAAATAGGAGAAAGAAGAGAAGTAGCACCCGCTGGGCAGGATAAGTATCTATCAGTTGGCCATCGGAGCCTAGGCCGGCAGAGACTATCCATAGGTTAAGTTGGTTCTGGTTGGAGGATTAACCCTCTGATTGTGATGCTTGGCTTTTGGGCCTCGGAAAGGAATCAAACTAGGCAAGCAAGGAGGGGATAAAGGACCACGGAACGAGGTAAAGGGCAACCCCTTGACCGAGTGAAGGCGAGCCCGGATTCAAAGTAAGATGGATTGAAAAGACTCCTAAAACTGCCCCCGCTGGGGTAGGTAAAAAACCTTTGTCCATGGCCTTACCTTGTAGGAAAGGATCGCTCGCTACTGGTAACCGTTAATTCGTAAAACGTATGTTTCGTAGGAAGCGGAATCCCGAGGAAGCTTTGACTCGGCTTATTTCATTGACAAGTGAGGGCATACCTCTCTACTCAAATAGATACTAACTAGAGTCTATAATATCTAGTAACTATCGTCTATTTCCTATTGGCTTAGCACTTAAAGTAGGGAAATCTCTCAGGGTTATCCCATGGATACTATTTGTATTTTGACTGTTGAGTACAGGGAATTCCATCCTAGAAACATACCATCTAACAATATAGTTTACTGTTCCATTCTGATATGAGAGTGAGAAAGAAGGGTTCCCCGATAAGGAAGGTTGACCCGATACCCATAACCTACAGAGAGCGAGTTCAGTATCCGCCTACAAAGAAGCAACTAAAATCCTGACTGACAAGGTTTGAGGGTATCTAATAGCAAAAATCTCCTTCTAACAAGACAGGGTATTCACTACTGTAAGGTACTGAGAGAACAGGTACTTAGATCACAGACTTTGACACTTCTTCCTCCGCCTACCTCCTTGTGAGCAGCCGCTTTTTCTTCTTTCCGTGGAGAAACCTAGTAACTTGGTTTTATTTTCCAACTCCTACTTTATTTGCCGCCTATTCGCTGGCACCAGTGACTTAACCAGTTAAAGCTTCTTTTTTTCATTTCCAGGATCGGCCTACTGAGGACGTAGCGAGATTAGGACTTTTGCCGGTATATGATCCTACTTTTTTTCTTAGAAAGCTAGGACCTTTTTAACATAAAAAAGTAAAGGTTAGAGGGTAGCCTACCTACATGGAATTGGAAGAGAAAATAGGTTTGAACCCCACTTCAAAAAGGGGCCGTCTACACCCCCACCTCCTTTGGGGATCCCTACTTACCCGAGCTTCCGGCTTTGGCGAATCGTGAATACATGTTAACCAGAAGAGTCCGACTTGCTAAAGACCTCCTAAGGCAGCTGCAAGAACAGAGGGAGGCTCATCTGCCCCCACAACAGGGATGGAAAGGTATCGATCGACCATGAACTTGTCGAATTTCTTTGACCACTGCCTCGGAGCCCATACAAGCTCTTCTTCAACAACCATATGTGACCTTCTTTTCCCCGAGTTTCGAACCCCTCGGGTTGCACCATGTAGATCTCCTCCTCCTCGTTGTTGCCGTGGAGAAAGACCGTATTCACGTCTAGTTGAAATAGATGCAAGTCCTCGGCCGCTACTATACCGAGAATCGTCCGGATGGTTTTGAGCTTGACTGCTTACCTGAAAGCATGCGGCACTCAACTCAGCTGAAGAATTCACTTCCACCCGGGTTCTTCGCGAGACATAGGGCACTTTGGCGGCTATCGGTGAAGAGTGTGCACCGTCCTTGGTCCTTCCCCATTTCCTTTTGATCGTATTACGCTTGACTCGCTGCAAAACATTTCGCTTTCTGCGCTCGCTCGTACGTGGTTTACACTCCTTGCCTTTCATCTGACTTTGCCATCGGGCAATTGTTTGTTTTCAACTGGATTGGATTCCGAACCAAGAAAGATAGGCAACTTTCACTTGAAAGAAAGGAGCTTCAGAACTATTGTATTCCACCGAATAAGAATAAGAGCAAGAAGGGGCTATCTTTGTGAAGGGACCGGCACCAGAAAGTAGATCATATGGCCTTTCTTTCGCCAAAAAAAATAAAGTAAAGCCCCGGCCCAAGAAATGCAGCAAAGCAAGTCGTCTTTGGTTTGGAAGAGAGGATGTGCTTTCCGCATTGAAGTTAAGGATTGAATGAATTAATTGTCCGAAACCCTACTTGTGAATGAATGTCTCCTGTCCTTTGGCATCCCAGTGAAGAAGTTGACTTACTTCCGAATGAAGCGAACTCTGAATAAGGTTTTCAGATCGACCAAAAAATATATTATTTATTGTAAGTGAACGGAGAAAAAATCCAAAGTCTTTTAAATAGGACGGACAGGCTGCTCCCTCTTGAGGTTGCAGGATCTGTAGTGACATCTTCTCCTGATGTGCAATTGGAGGCACTTGTGCTAGTTGCTGCATCTTCACCGATATCATTTATATTTCCATCTTCCTGCACTTGGTTGACAAACCCTGAAACCATAACACAGATTTCAATCTGCTCTTGGAAATCCTCGAAACCCATTCCATATCCAATCTTTGGACTACCACCCATATCTCCTACTATCGACCCACCACTGGATAAGCGAAGAAGTACTGCGAGGAGTTTTCAATTCACTAGCCGAACAAAGATCCTTCAATGCAAAGGAACAAAAGGGTATGGGATTCTCATGTCAAAGCATTCATTGATAACTACTACTTCTTTGTTTCATGTGTTGCATCCAAAAATGGTTAATTAAGTAATAGCATTTATATTACCAATTTGCTTTCAACTCTTATTGAAAAAAGCTCCGACCTTGGCTGTTTAGCAGTACATCCATAACTCCGAGCTTGAAAGTTTAGCAGTACACCCATAAGTGAATCCGGAAGTAACGTAGTACAGGGCGTAGCTCAATCTTCTCTCGCTGGATCCCAACCTAAAAGTAGCTAAGAGTTTTCCGGGCCTAATCTAAAAGATAGCATAGAGTTGTCAGTTTAAGTAGCTCCCCTTTTCCCGAGTGCGGGAGTCAGAGCATCCATTTCATTCGTTTAGGTGGGGAAGAGGAAAAGCTAGACAAGCTTGCAATCGATCAGCTGCAAGTTCTTCGAACTTATAATAGCGGGAATCTGGTCATTGATCCAAAGCTCACAAAGAGATAACAAACCAAACAATTCATAGGAGTCCCCCACTAGTGCCGGTTTGACATCCACTCCAGCAGCGCACCAAGAGAATCAAGTCAGTGGTAGTTATATAAGTCATCTCCGACGAAACAATCATCCACTACTTCAATACTGGCTTTTCGCCCCAGGCCTCCCTCTTTGGGAGCAGTTCGTGTCGTAAGATGTCAGGTTGAGTCCGCCAACGAACGCAATCCCTAGAATCTGTTTTGATCTTATTATTTGCTTTCAATAAGAAGCGGGAGATAAGCCTTCATGACTGCAATTTCCAGCCGGGAAAGAAGATCAAGGCCACTGCTTTTGAGCCGGTACCCACCAAAAATCATATAGAGTGTAGTTTGTCAACTCAAACTTTCCTGGCTTCATTTCCCATTGTCATTTCTTTTTCCAAAAACTCATTTGCTAAGTAGAATAGTTAAAATTCATGCTCTGCTAGAGCAAACACACTTCTCGGGATTGATGTCGTCTCCGTCTACTTTTTCTCTTAACTCACTCAGAGAGAGAGGCCGCCAAGGATAAAAATTATTAAAGAGAGTACCAGACAAGAGGTAGTTGTGTGGTTCTATTATTCGTTCAGTGTATTATTCGGGAATTGGTTTGGAAAGCCTTGGTAGTAGTGCACTCAAATCGACATTGAGATTGGGACATAGCCGCCCAACGATTAGACCGACCGGGGGATTGGAAGATCTGGAACTTTCCTTTGGCCAACTACAAGCAGTTGATCAATTTCACCATTTCTTTCATTCCCTTTTCTTCTTTTCTTGAGTTTATTCACGAGTTGATGTCATTGCTTTATTTAATGGGTCTCAGAAGTTTTTTCAATAAGCTTATCTGAGATAGGCATTTCTTGAGACTAGGCTAGTGCATTGGTATAGAGAGTAACAGTAGGGTAAGTAAGACAGTAGTGGGAGTACTTAGGATTGGTATTTTTTCTTGGGAATTCAGTAAAGTTTGTTGTAGCACTTTTCAACGAATGGATGTCCTCTTTTCTTCTTGTACGGCCCTGGGAGAGGTCTTTTTTTGTAACTAGGTCAGCTACTCAACTCATATAGCCGTGTTTTTTCCTCTATTTCAACTCCCCTTGTACCGAGCTCCCAAAGCTTTCCTTCTGTTTTTCCGCGGGCGGGTCTGACTCTTCGATACAACCTATGATTTGTGAAGCTTTCCGCTCTAAGGCATTTTGAAGATATGATTGCGAGAGCTTTCTTTCGGCTAACCCTATCTATCTCCTTACCCTGTAAGAAAAGCAAGGCGCCCTCCAGTCTCGTTCGCTGGGTGGTCAGAGTACAGCTTCGCCTTCTCCTCGGGCGGCAACTTGAAAAACTCCATTCCAATCCCCAACACTTTCCTCAGCATCTCCTCTGTTATCCCCTTACGATCTATGCACATTAGAAAAAAAAGTTGGAAAAAAAGCATGTTATCTCTCATTTTTCGTCGGTAAGATACTTGTACATAACAGACTAGCAGTACCATAAGCAGCAGGCTTTTGGACACAGTATTTTGAGTAAAATAGGGTAATACCCCATACCAGCATGAAGCCATTTACACAAAGCCCATAATTTGGTATCATGCCGGTACCAGAGTCATACATAAAGGTCTGTCTTCTCCTTCTGCTCGAAAGAGTCTAATGCTACATCCTTTCACTCATGTAGATTGTCCAGCATTTCATTTGACAAAACTCCTTCTGATCTGAGGACGACGAAGTTTATGAAGCTGCCAAGCAAGATATTGATGGAATCTCGACAACGGGTTCTTATGTATGATGTGTCCATTAGGTCTCAAATTATCAACACGGAGTGTACACAGAGTTATGTACGAGATAGTAGTCCTTCCACACAGCCGTCAGTTAATACCATCAATGATTCTGATGAGAGTTTCCTAGGTAGGAAGGATTCTGACTTTCACAGCCATCATTTGAATTGGGTTTGAGGAAGGTGAACAGGGGTGGTCGGGTCATCTTTATTTACGCCATGCGTACCAGTTGACTAGGATAGAGACAAAAGATGTACAAATATGTCCTAAAAGTGAGTCAATGGCATGCCACATGGTGGGAAGTGTATGTAAACACCGTAGGGAGACAAAAGCAAGCAGAGAAGGCGCCAGTGGCGCATGACATATTTTTACAAGTGTATAAAGTCTAGAAGAGGGCGGGGGAACATACTCTCACGTTCTCCGAGTGGGTACTGCACCGAGTAAAAAGGGTACTGGTCGACACGGGTAGCCCATTTCTTGCATAAAGAAGTTCTCGAACGAGACGATAAAATCTTGTCCCAGGTTCGAACTTCTCTCATAAGCTTTACCGGTTAAACCTTATAAGCTTTGGGTACCATCTTCCAGTTCAGTTTTGGAAGTCTCCGAATGTGGCCATAGCGACCGTCAATGGTGGTGGACGCCGGCCTATCATGCAATATTAGGACGAGGAAGGCTGAATGCAATCGAAGCTGTAGTTTCCACCTCTCACTTGATGATGAAGTTTCCCACGGGTTTAAAAAGGACAGCAACAGGTAGCGAGGGATTGTTACCTAGTTGCGTTAAAGGGAAAAGGGGCCATGTGGTTATCGAATAAACCATCACCCTTATCATAGAGATAGCCACGAAGAGGTCTGACTTTATATCCAAATATATCAGCATATTGAAGTTTCTCTGAATAGTAAACTCCGATAAACCGGGGAAAATAAGCAATCCAGTCTTTTTTATGATCGATATGGAAGGAATGGCTTATTCATTGTTTCAGGACAGTCCACATATGCCTCGAGAAAGCCATACAGTTCCTCTCCCTGTAAATTACCATCCCATTTAGCTGCACCTATCGGCATTGGGGATGATTTCATTATAAACGGATACAGAGAGCGAACGTCATAATAGAAAAAATTCTCACAGCTTATACACATCCGCATGACCTCCATAGTCTCCCCTACGAAGAAACTCATCAGCAGTCCTATGAGGAATTGCTATAGGTGTACTCATCTCATCATAATAATCCTTCCTAAAGATGGTTAGCGCTAGAGAAGACAAGGTCATCATCCTTGTAGTAATATAAAGCTCGTAAAGACTCCAATAGATATTTTGATCAGCATAATACCACCCAATATGTCTTGCTTCTCTACCAATTCCCTCTTCCTAGACGCGAAATTATCCATAACTACAGACGTATGATCTACTTCACCTTTACTGCCGAGCTCTGGGCAGAGACTTTGACCTAAAGAACTTAAAGAATCTGGGAGTAGCTTCAATGAATCACGAAACACCATCCTCCTGAGTAGTCCCTTTGGCGACTAAACGCGCTTTGTACCGCTCAATCGTACCGTCGGACTTGCGTTTGGTTTTGTAAACCCACAACCTACCAATTATATTGTAGTTAGGACTAGGTGGTACCAGTACCCAAGTGCCATTATTTGCAAGAGCTGAAATCTCTGAAGCCATAGCAGAGCGCCACTGTGGATGTTTAACAGCCCCTGAATAACATGTTGGTTTAGTCTCTTGATTGGAAGGAGGCAATGGATGCAGGGTAGATGAGTAGGCAATGAAATCAGGGAATTTCTGAGGTTTCATAGTGCGATCTGTGGTTCGAGTGGTCATAGAGTGTGTCGGTTGTTGAGAGTGTTAAGGACATGGGGAAGGAGGAGGTGGACGAGAGGAATTAAGAGGAGAAGCAGAGACTGAGGAGATGACTGGAAGAGTTGTATGAGAAGATGTTGAAG